GGGTTAGCCTGGTGATGGGTATTAAGGAGGGCACGTACTGCATGGAGCACTGGGTGTTATATGAAAACAATGGATCGTGGATCACCACATCAAAAACTAATGATGTATGGTGACTAACATAACATAATAAAATTAAATTAAATTAAAAAAAAACCTAAAAAAAAAAAAAAGATAAGTGTGCTCCTTAATCGCCTTCACCTATTTCACCCATCCCCCCCCCACCTCCCCTCTGGTGACCACCAGTTTGTTCTCTGTATTTAAGAGTCTGGAGGCGGGGGGTGGTTAATCTCTTTTCTTCGTTGTTCATTTGTTTTGTTTCCTACATTACACTCTGACTGACTTATTTCACTTAGCATAATACCCTCTAGGTCCATCCATGTTGTTACAAATGGTAAGATTTCATTCTTTATTGTGGCCAAGTAATATTCCATTATATATCCATACCACATGTCCTTTATCCATTCATCTGTCAGTGGACACTTGGGTGGCTTCCATATCTTGGCTATTGTAAATAATGCTGCAATAAACATAGGGGTATATATATATCTTTTCAAATTAGTGTTTTTGTTTTATTTGGGTAAATACCCAGTAGTGGAATACTGGATCTTACGATAATTCTGTTTTTAATTTTTTGAGGAACCTCCATACTGTTTTCCACAGTGGCTGCACCAATTTACACACCCAACAGTGAATGTGAGGGTTCCTTTTTCTTCACATCCTCACCATTTTTTTGTGTGTGTTTTTTATTTCAGCCTTTCTGACAGGTGTGAGGTGGTATCTCATTGTGGTCTTAATTTGCATTTTCCTGATGAGTAATGATGTTGAGCATCTTACCATGTCTCCATCAGCCATTCTGTATTTCTTCAGAAAAATGTCTTTTCGTGTCTTCTGCCCATTTTCAATTGGATTATTTGTTTTTTCGGTGTTGAGTTGTTTAAGTTTTTTGTATATTTTGGATATTAAGCCCTTATCAGATGTATCATTTGCAGTTATCTTCTCCCATTCAGTAGGTTGTCTTTTTGTTTTGTTGGTGATTTCCTTCACTATGCAAAAAGCTTTTTAGTTTGGTGTATTTTTTTTTTTTAAGATTTTATTTATTTATTTGAGACAGAGAGAATGAGAGAGAGAGAGAGCACATGAGAGGGGGGAGGGGCAGAGGGAGAAGCAGGCTTCCCACTGAGCATGGAGCCCGATGCGGGACTCGATCCTGGGACTCCAGGATCATGACCTGAGCCGAAGGCAGTTGCTTAACCAACTGAGCCACCCAGGCGCCCTAGTTTGGTGTATTTAATAGTTTAATTTTACCTTTGATTTCCTTGCCTGAGGAGATATATCTAGAAAAATGTTTCTATGCCCAATGTCAAAGAAATCACTGTGTATGTTCTCTTCTAGGAATTTTATGGTTTCAGCTCTTACATTTAGGTGTTAAATCCATTTTGAGTTTATTTTTCTGCATGATGTAAGAAAGTGGTCCAGTTTCATTCTTTTGCATGTAGCTGTCCAGTTTTACCAGCACTGTTTGTTGAAGACACGGTCTTTTCCCCATTGTGTATTCTTGCCTCCTTTGTTATAAATTAATTGACCATATAAACATGGGTTTATTTCTCGATTCTCTATTCTGTTCTATTCCATTGATCTGTGTCTGGTTTTGTGCCAGCACTATACTGTTTTGATTACTGCCACATTGTAATGTCATGAAATCTGAGATTGTGAAACCCCAGCTTTGTTCTTCTCTCTCTCCCCTTTTTTTTTTTTTTTGGAAAGGGGGTGGAGATCATGACCTGAGCCAAAATCAAGAGTCGGATGCTTGGGGCACCTGGGTGGAAACCCTACATTACACCCTTTTTTTATGTAGCAACTGCATAATTATTGAGTTCAAAGCATTTGGTAATTTCCATTGTGATGTCTTTGTCCCTCAGGTTATTTAGAAATATTTTTCTTAATTTTGTACCATCTGGGGATTTTCTAGTAATCTTGCTACCTTAATTTTTCCTGTGGTCAGAGATGCTGTGTATGATTTCAGTCTTTACAAATTTCTTAAAATTTGCTTCACCACATGGACAATTTTGAAAACATTTTGTGTGCACTTGGAAAATGTGTAGCCTATAGGTATTGAGTGCAGTTTTAGATATATCAAGTTTTTGTTTTAAGATTTTATTTATTTGAGAGAGAGCACACAAACCAGGGGAGGAGCAGAGGGGGGCGAGAGGGGGAAAGAATCTCAAACAGACTGCATCAAGTGCAGAGCCCAGTGCAGGGCTCAGTCTCACGACCCTGAGATCATGACCTGAACCAAAACCAAGAGTCAGAGGCTTAGCTGACTGAGCCACCCAGACACCCCAGATATATCAAGTTTTTTGTTTTGCTAAAATCTAAGCATTTATTGATTGTCAGCTTATTCTGTGAGTTATTAAGAAAGATTTTTTTAATGTTTCCCAGTAAGACTGTAGATTTGTCTGTTTCTTATTTTAGTTACTTTAATTTTTTCTTTATGTATTTTGAGGCTGTATTATTAGGTAAATACAAAGTTATAACTGTTATACCTTTCTGTTAAATTGGACCTTTTATTCTTCTGAAGTGTCTTCTTTATCTCCTCAATGGTTTTTGCCTTGTACTAATATCACTATAGCATCTTTCTTTTGGTTATTGTTTATATAGTATCTCATTTTAATTCTGTTATCTTTTATATATCCTTGTATTTTGTTTCTAAGTAGCATATTGTTGGATTTTTGTTTTAACCAATTGTTAGATTTTTATCTTAACCAGATTTTGTTTGCAACCCAGATGGTACAGAATTACTTCTTTTTTTTTTTTTTTTAAAG